GGTTTCTTTGCCGATAAACCACCCAATTCTGGGAAAATGGAATCTTTAAGTTGAAGGAAAAATGGAAAAATCTTGTGCAATAAAATAGTTCATATTTAGTTAAATATATTTTTTAATGGCATACATTTTTTGTGTTTTATTTTTACTTAAAAATCGGCATGAGCTTTCCAGATAGCCCAATGTAATTATAGACTGTTTGCCTTAAATACGCTATTTTTCAGAATTACCTCGTTTGAGCAAAATACATTCTTGTTGCCGGTGTTGTACATACGTATATTACATACGGGGACGCACTGAGAATTTCTCAGCTCAACGACGAAACCTTTCATACTTAAGAATTTAATGGTTTATCAGAACGGAAGTACGTTCTATGTTCATGAACGCAGATCATTTTTTTTACATCAATTACAATTGACCACAAATTTGTTCAACGTAAATCCGTGACCTTCGTACGAGATGACTTAGAAGGGGAAAAGAATTTAAAGCTATTAGATTTAATGTTATTGGTATGCGTGTCGAATGAACAATTTTGCAGAAGACTGCTTTTGCAGATGTTTCTGTAAAACACACACACACATATGTATGTATATATATATATATATATATATATATATATATATATATATATATATATATATATATATGACGATGAAGCAAGATGGAGAAAGAAATGCATTGATGCATGAACATAAATTACAGAAAATACACATAATTTTTCTACATACACCGGTTGAAAGCACGTGCGATCCCCGGCCATCGTCAGCCGCCAACCAAGGGAGGTAACACAGTTTCGATGGCTAAGGCTGTACTGCGACCCCTGGCGCTACCAGCAGCTTTTGCCACCAAACAAAATATTGCTTTTTGTGTAGACGTGTCAATATCTTGCGATTTTTTTTTTGCAACTGCAAGGCAGATTTTCAACGATGTGTTAAAAGCGTTTGCTTTTGATATATATATATATATATATATATATATATATATATATATAACGATTTTCCAAGCGTAGCTTAGATGTGGTAGAAAGCCGAAAGTAGGGGGAACCCAGTGAGGATCGAACTCACTACTCAGTCGTAATTGTATATATATATATATATATATATATATATATATATATATATGAGAAAGAATAGAGTACAATTCCAACGTTCGTAACATTTAATTTAAAAGAGGGCTCAATACAAAGCAGAGCAATATTATTTATTTTAGGATATTACACTGAAAACATGTAAAAATCGCTACACAGTTGTATTTCAACGCATATCAATGCGTCTTCACAGGCGATTGTAAATTACTGGCAAGTGGACGATTTATTTAGATTTATAAGCAAAATACAACCTCCTTTTACGAAAAAAAAGAAAGAAAAAAGCAGTTATAAGGTTTGTGGGATTTACCCTCATCAACCAATCAAATATAACGCACATTAAATTTAAACTAAGCCAAGAAGTAAAAATAAATGATTATTTTTAATAAAGGGGTCATGACCTGTAGAGTGGCAGCTAACGGCAGCCAGACATAAACTAATGCGGATACATATGGTTACATAAATTATACAAATTAGACAATGCAGTTTCTTAAAAATTAAAGGTGGCGGTAGAGAGGCAATTTTAAAAATATGCTAAGCAAGTTATATACTTTGTGAATTTCCTACATTAATTTCTTTTTTGTAGTTGGTAAATAAATGGCTACTTTAAGAAACAGGAAATAATTAAAACATATAGAATTATTTTGTAAATTAATATGCAAATGTTAAATAAAGATCCTTATTATAAGATGTTAAGGACATATACCACATAGTAGTAAAAAAAAATTATATAGGAATGTTTTTATTTTTCTAAACACGGTCGGCACATTGTGGCCGTGTTCATAGTTGAAGTTATCGAGTGTTTGCTTTTTCTTTTTTATTAATAATGCTACCATTATTTTTATCTCTTGACAATGGCTATAAGAATAGCCAACAGTCTCTAAGACATACATAACATTCGGACAATTTATACATAACTAGCAGTAGAGCCTGAATTGCCATTCGGGATGTAACAGTAAGAGATAGATCAAGTATCATCGACCATCATAAAGACTGAAAATAAAATTGACAAAGATTATTGTTTAAGGTTGATGGACACGCATGTCTTAATTAGTTTTTTCTTTTTTTTTTTTTACGAATTGATCAAACCCAAACTCAAACAAAAACATTGTTTTCAATCGTTATGAGTCTACCGATTGAATAGAATTTTATTATAAACAATTGTCTTATAAATGGAATTTTTAAAGCATTCTGAATGTAAAAATAAAGAAAAAAAAAAAGTGCAAGACAATAAGAAACACTACCTGCCAAAATAAGTGAAGTTTTGTTGAAATCGGTTGAAAAATGTAGGAAATCCGATCCCATATATAAACGAACACAGACACACACTCACAAACAACCTGGGTTTTATAATAAGTATAACTCGATATGAGTTGTCTCCCTTTCATTCTCGCGACAGAATCGTGTTTTCAAATTGATTTCGTGAAAAAACAATTGTGTTTTTCCAATTTTTAGCGCTGTCAGAACCACCGCAAGGTAATTTTACGTAATCATGTGAAATTTTGTTGAAATCGGTTGAAAAATGTAGGAAATCCGATCCAATATATAAACGTACACACACACACGCACACACACAACCTGGGTTTTATAATAAGTATGATTATTGACTAGATAAGAAAATAGTTTAAGAACACAAGAAAAATGAAATAAAAACTTAACCGCATTACCTTGTAAGTCGTTTTTAATGATACTTGTATCAAAGAAGGACTGCTGCCCAAATACATAATTATACTGCGGTTAAGTTTTTTTTGTTAATATTTTCGTTCAAGTGATTTCTTTTCTGGACATAAAGTGTGTAAAAACTGCCAAAACGATTTGTGGATCTGAGAGCTTTCGAGTAATGTATTAGCCATTGTCAACGACGTTTTATTGTTTAATTGAATATGTAGATTTTTTAGAACATGGTCACAACATGATAACCATGATTCGGAAATTAAAAAAATCTTATTCCTATATATACATATAAAAATATATTAAACAAATCTACATATTCAGTTAAACAAAAAGACATCCTTGATAATGGCTACCAGTTTAGTCGAAAACTCGGATCTACAGCAGATCACTGGACAGTTTTTATATACAAATGTCCAGCAAAGATATCACTTGTACGAATGCAAGAATTTTTTTTATAAAAATTTAATTGCAGTGTCTTATCAGCCGTCTTCATTGAAACGTACACTCACTCACGCACAAACGCACACACACACACACACACACACACGCACACACATATTCTTCTGTGTACCGTGTTCATTTATGGCTATAACCAATATTCTATCCTTTGTATCTGTAAATTTTGTTTTCATGTTATCTCTCCTAATCCCTCTTCTGCCAACAAAAGCACGTTAAGTAGATTATGCCCTTATATTTGTAAGTTAATAATAATTAATAATTTTAAAATGTAAAAAGTTTTTTTTCTGTTGTTCTGTATATCAGGGATTGCATTTTTTCACAAATTCTGCAATCTTTGCCATTTATTAACAATATTGTATAATTAAACAAGAAAATATTTCGAAAAAATTACCTTGAAAAAATGAAACTAAGTGCACAAAAAGGAGGCATCCACATTTATGTTATTCCAATAAATATAAATCTCCCTAAGCAGACGATTGCTGTTTTTTTTTTTTAATGACTTTCAACTCTGAAAATTATAATTTGGTAAATACAAAAATTGGTATATAAATTGCCACCTATTACTATTTACTATTACTTGAATGGAAATGCCTTTAGTGTACTATCAGTTTGCAAATCTGTTGTAAAAATGTTAACTCTTTTCCTGCAGGAGAATGTTTGTGTGACAGAGAGAGTTTGGGAAACACACAAACACCCACACAAATATATATATATATATATATATTTTATTGAAATTGGAGTGGATTTGAACAGTGAATGGATGAACATCACTTCTGCTTTCTGGATCAAACCAAACACAACGTGGACAGGAAGCAGGATTAAACCAGTGGACCGGTCGAATAATCTACGGATGCTCAGAGGACCTACGGCCACTCCCTTAAGTTCGGTTAGGACCGAATAGACACCTCAACCCAGAGAGTAAGACGTCGGAGGGCTGGGGCGAAAGTGGTTAGATTTGCATTAAAGGGATATTTCAAATTAAAGCTGGGTTATTGTCCTGAAACGATGATAGGCCGCTTATGTCATTCTGATATTGTTAACTTATTGTTCATTCTGAAGTTGTTTGATAATTTAACAGATATCATTGAATTTCTAGATGAATTTCATTAAGTATATATATAATTATTAAAACTATTACATTTATTTGAAAGATATATTAATAATTTTAATCTGTTGAAAGTTTGTTTTTTTCTGTTGTTCTTTATATCAGGGAGTGCATTTTATTAAAAAATTCTGAAAACCTTGGCATTTATTAATTTATTATTGCATTTCATCAAAGTAATATTGTATAATGCGAGTAGTAATAAGTATTACAATAACTTGTATTACAAATACATATTAGAATGTATGTCATTCTTAATAGAATTGATAATACCATTGCTTTATCATTTTGTGCCATGAACTGCTTTTAAAAGGAACCTAACGGGTTTATGGGTGATCTAGTATTTTATAAAGAGAAATGGTTATGAATGAGAGAGAGTTCATTAAAGATTTGTTCCGACCTACTTCCAATGAGCAAAAGGAAATGAAATTGCAAATGTAGTTACATTCCTCCATACAAAGGATACGCTTCAATTTTCAGGCCCATCCTAATAAATGTCTCAGGTGTGAACAAAGTGTTAGGTGTGATGACGGTGTCATTGGAGAACACACTCACTCATTCGCCCAACTCTAGGCAGGTCTTGCAACCTCTCAGTCCGGAAACACTTCCCTTGTCAACGTTTTGTTTTTTTATTACAATTAGCGAGATTGTATCCATTGCCGGCTTGCTAGGCCAGTCGCGTAGCTTGCATCTCGTGGTATTCTCCAGCGTTCACTCATCTGAATACTGACCAGGCTCAGCGTTGCTTAACTTCGGTAATCAGACTATAACAGGTGTTTCAACGTGATATGGCCGTAAGCCAATTTGAATACGAAGATGTAATTAGATCCCTGTTTCTGAAAGGCGACAGACCACAAATATTTTTTAAGAGTTGAGTGCACTATTCGTGAACTAACGAACAAATTCTATATTATTGTGGGGTCTGCAGAATCATGTCACGGTGTAATGTTTCGTAGAAGCTTTGGACACGGTGAGCCTGAAATCGGAAATTTGCCAATTTTGGAAGTTTCCCAAGTGATATTTTCTATACCTAGTCTGAAAATAGACACTTCCAGGTCTCAGAATTAGTCGATGTTTGTCATAGTGCCAAGTATTCATCAAGTTATGACATGGCTAAATAAACTGTTCATTTTAACCCTTAACACCCATAACATTCTAGAAAAAAACCCCAGATATATCTGTTGTATGAACATTTCCTCCTCATGACAATATGTTGAAACTACGGACTTTAGGCATTCTAATTTATTTTCCTGAAACAAACTAATGACAATAATTCAGGTGTGTAAATCCATAAATAAATACCCCTATCTTGTTCTGTTAAAATAACCTATGTGTTTCTTCATCATTATCATCCTTCATGGCATGGGTAGATCATGGGTAGATCAACTGTTCATTTGGCATGGGTAGATCAACGGTTCATTTGGCATGGGTAAATCAACTGTTCATTTTAACCCCTAAGCCCAACAACATTATCGAAAAACATATCTATTTTAAATACAAGACATAAAAACCAACATTAATTATGGATATGAAAGAAATTTAAAATTTGTTCTATTCTAAAAAGAAATCATAACATGACATCATCAATCTGACACTATTGTTCGATTATCTCTCTATATGTCTATTCCTACATATTTGTCTATCTACATATGCAGGTATTTTTTTTATATCAATCAATCTGACAGCAAGCTCACAAGCGGTTATTTGGCATTATTGGAACCTTTCCCAAGTGATATTTGCTATATCTAAAAAATCTGAAAATAGACAGTTCCAAGATTTCAGAACAGGTCTAACTTTGTCCTAGCGCCAAGTATTTATCAAGTTATGTTCGTTTGAAGTTAAAATTCGCACATTTAATCATTTATTTTTAGATGATCAGTTCTGGATAGTTGGTTTTTGTTGCAGTTTTTTGTATATATTATGTAACTAGTGAGCTAGTCCAGATGACTTGACTCACTTTATAGTCCACCAATAGAAGGTTAACCAATCAGAAGACGTAGAATTTTCAATACGTCGTGTATAAAGGCGGCCATTTTGTTCACTCTACCCGAATGTCCAGTACCTGCTTGTCAAGCGAAGAGAAACAGAAGGACAAACTATGCTCTGCTACCTTTTATCAAAATATCCACTGCTAACCTGAACAATGCTTTCCTACTGTCTTCGAGATATTCACGGCTAACCCCCGGATTCTATACTCGAAGACGACCGTCATCATTGAATAACACTTTTGTCTGTCTCTTAGGAAAGTCACTGGAATGAATTTTAAAAGTGGCAAATAGGATTACTTTGACACTCCTTTTCTAAAATGACTTACATCAAGTGGAGATTGGGGCCCTACAAAAGAACATTCAGTTGAAGCTTTTGACATATTTTGCTGATGAAAACATAAACTAAAAGAAAACATTTACAGCGTTAAATTTCTGACACAAAAACAGATTTTTGGAAATATTGGAACATTTCGAAAGTGATATGTTCTATGTCTAGTCCGAAAATAGACAGTCCCAGAATTTCAAAACTTGTCTGATTTTGTCCTAACTCTAAGTATTTGTCAATTTATTCAAAATTCCTTTAATCGTTTAAAGGTCACTTAGAGCAAGAAAAGCCTGGAAGATGTGGAGAGCCATGATCACAATGTATTTGTATGGATGAATGACAGAACAGGGATAAAGAGCGAAGGTAAACAGTTAAAGGTCTCTTAAGGTATCATAAGACGGAAGATGTGGAGAACTATGATCTTCAATTTAATGACTTAGTGTGAATGTATAGCAGAACAAGAACAAAGAGAGAGGGTAAAGTGCCAAACATGACCTTAACCGGGTATTGAACTCACACCCTTTGGGTCCTGTCACTGGATCTAACCAACGTCTTTATCCACTGTGCCATAAGGCAGTGGAGAACTTTCAGAGGGAAATTAACAGGAGATAACTGATAACTGACATCCATTAAACATGGCACGTGGAACTAGAACAGTCTACCCTAGTGAGTGAAATAAAGGGTTCAGTTCGACATTCCAACCACCTGAAGAAGACCGGGGAGTACAACGGCTGAAACGTTGTAATAAATATGGCAACAAAGATGAGGACAATAGTCCGAATAATGTAAATAATGTACATATTACCTCGTCTCAGAAATATAGACAGATACTGAAAGGCCGAAACGTTGTAATAAATATGGCGACAAAGATGCGGACAATAGTCCGAATAATGTAAATAATGTAATATTTCGAATATATCACAGTACATGTGCTAGAAAAAAAAACTATATGAGCAACATACCGTGCCCCGCTTAAGTTTTAATTACGGTTTACTTAGCCGACGAAAAGCAAAATTAAAATTAAACCTTTAATGAAGAATTGTTTTTTTTAAACCCTTTCTCTCTGCTCGATATTTAAATTTAACGTTTAACGTGTTATTTATTAGTTATTTGTAGGTAGTTAATACCTTTTACTTCAGGTTGTTTAGGATTTGCCAAGATCAAAAACGGACGGACGGACACACATACACTGCGCTTTATTTATATAGAATATTATATTTTTATGTGATATTTATATTTTATTTTTATTTTTTATAGCTTATTTTTTTTTATTTTTTATAACATATTTTTATATCATCTTTTGACTTTTACTTACGTTTTCATATACTTTATCCCATTTTGGTCAAGTAAGGTGGTAGGTCTTTGAAGTTCGTAGACTTTACTGCCGGTCATAAAAAGCACAACACACTTCAGACTCCGATAAAATCATTTAGCGCTCATTTGACTTTAAATGCGCGCGTTTTAAGCCAGTCGTGTAGAGGGCCCGTCGTCGTGGAGAAGGGTCAATCAGTGTACCAATTTTTCTGCTTCTATTTCCACAGGTCAAAATGAACTTTTAATGAACGTCTTTCGCCTATCTGAAATCCTACCGCTCAGACGAGGTGGACGCTGGTCATCATCGACGATAAAGAAGGGGGTGAAAAAGATGAGAAAACCTAAGCTATTACAACTTGGAATACAGGTAATAATTATCAAACTGATTATATTACAATCATCAGTTGTATGAGCGTCACAGAGACACGCACATACACAAGTATCTAGCAATTTCAAACCAGACAAAATACTGTATTTGTCATTCAGCGCTGTTTTGCAAGCGTCTGCAATTGTGGCGAGAAGGCCAAATACTCATTAGCTGAATGACTCGATCAATCAGTAGAAAACGTGCGACCAAACGTGAATGGGAGGATTAAAAATAAACAAACACTGCCGGGGATTAACACTGATTTGTAACCGCCACAAACTGTTTGTATTTATTTAGATAAAGATTTTTTTTATTTATTATCGTTGTAAACAAAAGGGGGACAAAGACAAGAGAGAGTATGAAAAGAAACAGAAAAAAATAATTGCAAGAAAGAATACAAACAAATAAGAAAAAAAAAAAAAGATCTATATGAATAAATGCGAAATGGGAGCTCAGTTTTCCCACGAATTCTGAGGTCCCCAACTCTACTTTATCATAGATATTTACCCTGGATTCGCCGATGAGGTGGGATGTGACACAAGGTCGGTTTTAAAGTGTGGGTAGAGGGGAAACCGAGGACGTACACTGGGGCCATGTACAAAAATTCCCCGAGTCCCGCAAACGTCGGTTGCGCTGGCCTCTATGCGTGTATCGATCTTCTCTCTGGCGCTATGAGAGGGTGCAGCCTCGGGCATCTGTTTCCTAGGGCTGGGCACCTCACAGTGTGTTTTTCCCCTGTTACGCCTCTGTCCACCGACGATACTGCAAATCAGTCGCACTCTGCCCGAAGACAGAGACCCAACTGAGAGATGATAAAAACGTACCCGACATTAATTTATACACAAAATGCTCAATCTCTGACTTATATATTATCTACTTATAGGTGATATCACATTTCAGGTTTAACTAATTAGTACATTATTTACATTATTCAGACTATTGTCCTCATCTTTTTCGCCATAAAAATTGTACGCTCCGACCTTCTCTAGGTTGGAATGTCGAACTGAACCCTTTATTTCACTAGTTCCACGTGCCATGTTTAATGGATATCAGTTATCTCCTGTTAATTCCCCTCTTCAAGTTCTTAACCGGGTATTGAACTCACACTCTTTTTTTTTGGGTCCTGTCACTGGATCTAACTAACGCCTTTATCCACTGTGCCAAGTGTCCTTGAGGACACTCGGTATGAATTTCTGGGTATTATAAATCTAATGTCTTCAGCAACAATTTTTACCAGTGCTCATATTGCAATTTTTGCTGTTATCATTTTATATTTTTACCAGAGCTCATATTGCAAATTTTGTTGTTATTATCGCTTTTCTCTGGCACTTCTTATTACTGGTTACAGTAAACGAAATAAAGGGTTCAGTTCGACATTCCAACCACCTGAAGAAGGCCGAAACGTTGTAATAAATATGGCGACACAGATGAGGACAATAGTCCGAATAATGTAAATAATGTACATAATACCTCAACTCAGAAATATAGACAGATACTAACTAATTAGTATATTGATTTTTTAAAAAAAGTAGCTTTCCTTAATTAACTGTCCTACATTATTGTTCTTTTATTCAAGGATTGTTTTTTCATATCAAAAATATTTCTGTTTAGGAATATTGTCTTAAATAGTGCAAAAATGTTTGAAATTAGCATTTTACTTGACCTTCAACAAGTTGGCATCTATTTGTAAAACTTTCCTTAACTATAACAAGCCTCCCGCCCCACTCTCGACCAATTCATTTCTTCTGTCGTTACAGTCATATTCTTTGAACAAATATATTGAACATCCACAACACATTCAACA